AGTAAGAGAGACGGGAAATGGTTGTCTGGGGACCGCACTAGTGGCGCAGAACTCCGTCTGCGAAGATGGGATACAAGTGTGGATGCTCTCGAACCACCGCTCATGCACGACCCAATGCAGTCACAAGGACAGCGACCCCGGACGCCATCTGAGTCCGCCGCCCTCCTCCTCCCGCGTCAGGAGGGGGGTTCTGCGGAGGTGGGGGGTTTCCGCACCTCACCACAGCAACCCCCGCCTGGATTCGGGCTCCCGATATAAAGGGGACAGGGTGAAAGCTCAAAGGTTGGGATGAACATCTGTGGTGTCAGAAGGGGAGAACCACCACCGGGGCCAGAGCCACCACCACGACTCCCAAAGCCTCCACGAGATGACAGCCACTCAGACAAAACTGCCGTGGAGACCCAAATCACCCAAAACCACCCAGGGTCCCCAAAATCAGACTCCAGACACCAGACTGAGGAAATCAGGATGATGGATAAAGACGAGAAAGAACAGCAAGACCAAAACCAATGCCAGAGAGGACCACTGAGACCAGAGCCGCCACCACCACGAGCGCTGGCCCTGCGCCCAGAGCTGACGTGTCTAATTTTAGGGTCACGATATCCAGTGGGACCTTTCCCGATGCCCAAACGTTGGCCAAAGAGGTGACAGAGAGGAGCCAAGTACCCCACATTCTAAAGACACCCGCCTCAGAGCCCGCTAGGGAGCAGCACGGTGGGTCCTACTGTCACCTGCCTAGTCTCTGAGGACGACTGAGATGCACGGAAGGAAAAGGCACTCACAGAGACTCCAGGGGCAACCTGCAAGCGGGGGCTGGCCCACCACGGGCATCGGCTCAGACGGTCTGCTGATAGGACCCTGCCCACCCCTACCCCCACCCCCAGAGCAGTGAGTGGGGGCCAGAGAGGAGGCAGCGTGGAGAATCCAATGTCTCTACCGTCTGCAGAGTGAGGACGCGTGTGTGGCCTATGGATCGAGTGGACCACGCCGAAGGGAGCTGGGGTGTCGTTTTGTAATTGACACACGATGTCACATTCGTTTCCGCCACACCACACAGTGATGGGCAAGTCTGGGCGTCCCGCTGTGGATCTGGGTGTAGACCACCTTGCTGGTACCCCAGCCACGAAGCTGTGGACCGGGCGAGAAGAGCTCAGCAGCAACAGGCAGGCAGAGCGGGCCTCCTGCTCCAGGAAAGGGGGTCCTGCAGGCCCTCTGAAGAAGCCACACAGGCCACCCGAGGACACAAGAGGCAGCGAGAGCCAGACGTGCGGTGACAACCTCCCAAGAGAAGCACGTAGTTAGGTAGAGAGCTCTATGCCCTTCTCCCCGCTCCCCTCTGCTATTTCCAGCGCCAGGAAGGCTGCACCGGAATAATGAAAAGGAAGGAGTGTCCCAGGGCTAGTCCTCGCCGCTGGTTGAGGTGGGAAGAGGGCCGACCACAGCATGACCCTGTCTCACGCACCCCGAGCCCTGTGTCCACCCTACATGAGCCAGAAGGGAGGGGAGATGTAAATCAAAGTGGGGAGTCAACATTTCAAATCGGACTGGACTTTTTTAAAATGGAAAAATTAAAATGAATCTGCCCAAGATTTTGCTAAGGAAGGGAGTGGGCTTGACGAGGCGCGGCTGGAGCCCACAACGGGCGCATGTCTACTCCCACCAAGAGGGGACCTCCCCACGAGGGAGGCTGCAAGGGAGAGCTGGTCCCCAGAGAGAGGAGCTGGAGCCACAGGAAGCTTCCAGGGCCCATGACCCAGGGGGCTGAGGGAGACAGCAAGGTCCTCCAGGAACACTCCAGAACGAGTCAGCAGAGCTCAAGACTGCCAACCTCTTGCTTTGCTCTGCGGCCCGTCACAGCAACCTGTGGCCGCGACTAGAGGAGGTCAAGTTGTCTGCAGATGCATTAAAGGAAATCTAGTTTTCATTAAACGAGTTGGCACAGCCCCACTCCCTGTGGCTCAGCCTCCTGCCTACTGGTCCTCCACCAGTCACCTCATGGCAGCCCGTACAGGGCAAGGGGACACACTGAAGAACATCTAGAGGCCCCGAACACCGAAGTCCCAACACACCCCAGAGGGGCAGCTTCAAATGGAACCTGGGCTGACCGTAGGCAGACAACCAGGTGGGCAGGAGCAGGATCTCAGGACTGACCGACCCTTCACTGGAACATTCTCCCTCGGCGCATGGGGAGACCGTCCTGGCCAATCCCACTCACACCTGTGGGGAAGCCCCTGAGGAGTTCCGCCCCGACCCCCAGCTGGGCAGCACCCATGGGGCAGCACCCGTCTGTTCGGCTGATGCCTCCTGACTGCCCCCTACGGGACCGCGGCAGGGACTACAGGCAGCGACTGCCACAGAGAGCTCAGGTCCATCACACACGCACGTCCTGCCAGACAGTCTCTGTTTTGTCTGTCCCCTTCTCCCACTTGCAGCGGATTCCCTCCTCCAGACAATTCGATGAGGTAGATCCCCCCCTCCAGATGCCGGAACAGACACAGAGAAGTCCGCGTGACAGGTCAGGAAGGAGGGGCGCTGGGATTCGAGCAGCCTGAAAACCTCCTTTCGCGATCTCCCGCGCACACTGCCCCGTACAGGGAGACAACGCTGCCAGAGGCGCACAGATATGGAAAAATCCAAAAGAGGTCACTGAGTGATTCAAGCTGGGCAAACACTGCCCTTGGCCAAAGGTCAACAGACTGCCTCAAAGCACATTTAAATTTTATAAGGTGCAAGAAGACAAAACGAAACGCGGTGCCTTGAAACCTCGGCCCCAGCTGACCGGGAATGGAGCCCGTTTCAGATCTGCTGATGGGAAAGAAAAGCGAGTCTCCACCATCTGCCACCCCACGGCCCCTCACTGACTACAGAAACCCTAAAGTCACCCCGAAAATACTTACGACACATCTGTTAGAATGTGTTTATGGAGCAACATCAATGAAATGGGATGATGGGGGAGAAAATGTACCTCGAGAGCCAGTTTTCACGAGCCACCGAAATCGTGAGACACTGGAGTTGGAAGAGGCTCAGAAACACCGTGTCCAAGAAAGTGAACTGAGAGGCAGTCTGAGTAATGGATCCCATGGTGTGTGTCTCTATTCAAGGGTGCGTCCTCATTGAACAGACGTTAAAGCCCTTCTAGCCCACATGCCCAAGAAGTTACGCCTGAAGAGAGGGGTTGCCTTGTTCTAATTCTGACAAGGGGCTGTCCTGGGCTAGCAGCAGCCCTGGGGACATGACACTAAGACATGCTCTGCATCTTTTGACCGAAGGCCACAGACTGTTCGGCTCAATCCAGGCTGCAAACACATTTGTCTGGCTTTCGGAGCTTTTCAAACCGGGAAGTTTCATAGGAAATCTGGATGGCCCAAGTATCCTGAAAAATTAGACGATATGGCAATCCCGGGCTTGTGTTCCCACTTGGCAATGACCAGCTGGAGGTAAGCAGAGGCTGCTCTAACTAGATGAAGCATGGGCCATCCACTTTTCAGCTGTCTCCAGTACTCCTTATCGTCTCTCCGGCAATGCTGTCTTCACCCCTTTATTTCAGCCTGCCCCCTTGCCAAATGAGGATGCAAGAGATGAGCTGCCCGCACCCCCGGCTAGTGGGGAAAAAAAGCAGTCTAAAGAAAGGACTGCAAAACAGTGTGATATGTGTTGATAGAAGTAAACTCAAAATAGTTACTTAGTGACTGAGCTAAGGCCAGAAATCGGGCTCTGCCCCGTTCATTATGTCCTGGCCTCTAGCCTCACCTCTCCTGGGCACACACAGACCACCACCCTAGACTGAAAAGACAGGGTCCTGCACGGCCCCAAGCATGGCTGGCACGTGATACCCAAGTGGCATCAGGGCACTGTTCAGGGCTCAGAGAGGACCCAAGGAATTTGAATCATCCTTATAGCTAAAACAACCAGAAATACCGTTTGCTGGAGGTAAGAGAGAAAACCAGATGCTCTTGGCATAGGATTAATACAAGTCATACCACATCTTAGGTGATCTAGAATAATGCTAAGCAAGCAGAGGGGCGCCTGCCCTTCTTCTTCCCTCGATATTACCTGCAGGAGGGCAGAGTGCACGAAGACCGTCCATATCAGCAGCCACCAGGAGCTGTGCCAGGAAGCCATGGGGTCCGGTCTCCTGGGGGTCTCTCTTGAGCCTACAAAAGAAGAAAAAGTTGGCTTTCAACCAGCTCTGCCCCCAGTGGCAGCACCCATGACTTAAGAGACCAGTCAGAGGGAGGGATTCTGAGCCTCCCATAATGTCTTGGAAAGGTTTGTGTAGGTCCAGGATGGAGCTACCTACTACAGGGTGCAGATGGGTCCACATCAAGGTCAGGAGGGCAGCTGGACCTGCCTGCCATGCACAGCCCACACCTCTAGGCCTTCCGAAGCTGAGAGGTCTCTACACCAGCCACTTTCCAGCTCATGTGTCAGCAGCAGGGTGTGGCTACTGGCATCTGACTCAGGAAGCCAGTGTGGAGCCAAGGATTAGGGCACCTGCCAGCTTCTTCCACTTCAGGCAAAAATGGATCTGAGACAACTAAGCCGGCCCGGAGAGGGGAAGGGACCTGCCTAAGGTCACACAGCAAGATGGTGACTGTTCCAGGACTGGAACGCAGGTCTTCTGACAGTTCAAGGCTTTCCCGGCAGATGACACCGTGTACTGTCCGGACCCCAGACCTGCAGCCGGAGAGGTCTGAGCTGAGTCCGAGGGGCTTCAGAGGGCACAGCCTCCGCGCTGGCCCAACCCAACCTCCCAAAAGTAGGTGAGGGCGAACCAGCGGAGGTCCCCCTGAGCCCAGGAGGGCCGCGGGGGCTTTCTGCACAGTTCTCCTGACAATTTACAGGGAAATCGGTATGAGTCGAGACTGGAAAAGCCGAGGTCACACTCGCCTCTCGCTTCGCCTCGCGGGCGCCTTGGCGGAGCCGGTGTCCGGGGGCGGGTCGGTGGCTTCGCTCCATCTGGAGAAAGCATTAAGGGCCTGGCCTAATGCGATCCGCAAATGTGCTGCTGTTTCCGACCTGAGGCGGCGACTCCCGGCCGAAGGGAGGCGGCCGGTGCCGGGCCCACGCACCGCGCGCCCCCCTCGCCGGCTCGGCCCCGGCCGCCCCGCCGCACACCCCGCCGGCTGCCCGCTGCCCCGCGGCGTTTCCTCCCGCGGCGTTTCCTCCCGCGTCCGCGAGTCCCTGGCACCCTGTGCCCGCTCTCCCCGCGGGCGCGTCGCCTGGGCCCCTGGCGCCCCAGGCGCTCGGGACCCACCGGCCGGGCGGCGGGACCTTCCGACGCTCCCGGCTCCCGGCCGCTGCCAGCCCGTTCTCCGCCCGGGAAGCCCAAGCCCGAGAGCCCCCGCTCTCCGGGGCTCCCCCACAAGGAAGAGCGCCCCCCGCGCGCGGAGAGCCCCGCACACGTCCCTCCGCGAACGCCCCCGGGCCCCACGGAGCGCTGCGAGGGGAGCGCCCCGCTCCTGGAGGACGCCGGGACCCGCGAAGGAACCCCCTCCCGCTTCGCGCCCCCCAGGCCTGCTCGGCGGCCACGGCCCCGCGTCCTCCTCCCCGCCAGGGACAACCTTCCCGACCTCGCGCGGAGCTCGCGGCACCCACCTTGCGCCGCGGACGCTTCTGGGACGTGCGGCCCGGGCGGCGCGGGCCCGGCGCGCGCGGCGGAGAGGCGGGCGGGAGCGGCCCCGTCAACACCTCGTGCGGAATCCGGGCCCAGGACGTTCCCCGACGCCGGCCTCCCGCCCGCGGCGCCGCAGTCGCTGCCGCCGCGGAGCAGTTAAATGGGGCTGGGACGGGGGCCGCCCCGCCTCTCCCGCCCCCTCCGGGCGCCGAGCGCTGCGCGGGCGGGGACCCAGCGGCGGAGGGCGCGCGCCGCCACCTGCACCGCCCGGCAAGTGCACCGCGCGCCCGGCCGCCCTCCGCCCGAGCCGGGGGGCGCCGGGGCGCGAGGGGAGCGCGTGAGGGGCCGGGCCCGGGCCGCTCGGAGCGCGCGGGGCCTCGGCGACGGCGAGACGCGGCTGGAACGCTCCTCCGCCCGCTTCCTGGAAGCCACTCCTCGCCCTGGGCCGGCCGCCAGGCGTGGTGCCAAGAGCCGGGATTGCCGACGCCGCTACCGCCGCCGCCGGCAGGCGCGCTGGGGAGAGGCGGCCGCGGCCGCGCGAGCCAGCCCGGGGCGCCCCGCCTCAGTCGGAGCCGGGAGGAGGGCTGCCGCCGCCCCCCCGCCCCGAGCCTCCAGCCACCCTTTCCCGGGCTCGCCCAGCGGCCACACCGAGGGCTGCCCGGAGCCGCCGGCTCATGCCCGGCCGGGCACGGACCTCAGCGGAGTCCGCGGCCCCCCTCCCGACCCGCGCCCCTCGGTCCCGGGGGAGACCCCCCGACCCCGCGCCCCGCGCAGACCCGGCACCCGCCGCTGACTCCTGGGCGCGCCCCCCCCCGGGCGGCCGGCTGCCACGGGCCACGGGCGGCCGAATAGGGTCCCCCCCCCCCCCCCCCCCCCCCGGCCAGGTACCCGCAGCCACTTACGGGAGCTGGGCTTGCTTGAACCGCGCTGACGATGAGGGGCCAGGCCCGGGGTTAAGGGTAAAGGGGTGTCAAGATCCGGACAGGGGAGGCTGTCCTTGTGGACTCCTGGAAGTGAAGGGAATTAGACACAATGTTCATGCCTGGCTTTGGCCTCATCACGGAGGTATCAAGGCAGGGGCCCGGCATTGCTTGGAAAGGCTGCCTTAGGCCCCCACCTAAGTGCGACCACGGGCTCATTTCCTTGGGTGCCCGAGCCTGCCAGCCACTGTGCTGAGCTCTTCCAGGCCCAGCGGCGTTCGTTAGGATCGTGGTTCCCATTTCACAGCGAGGGAGCGGAGGCCCAGGGGATAAATACATTGCACACAGCGAGTTGCAAAGCCGGGACTGAAGCTGGTGTCCTCTGCTGTTCATCCCTGAGGTTCATCTCCCGCCTGTTCTGTAGTTGGTACACTCAGATGGGGGTAGAGCTTTACAGAGGGGAGCTGACCCCCTGTCTGCCTCCCTCCCCCCGTCTTACCTTCCTGGCCCTGGGGTCTCCTCAGGCCAAGAGGAGGATCTGCAGACTGTCTCCCCACTCCATGTGAGGTGGCCGGAATCTCATGGTAAAATGAGCAGAGGACATTCAGGGTCAAGGGGGCAGAGAGGACCAGGACGTAGTGGGACACTACTCAGTCCCGGGCAGGAGAGCTGGGCAGAACCACAGAAAATACACCAACCTACAGTTCTCGGTAGTTATGTTCTTATGAGGTCAAGGGAACGATGAAGCTGGTAATAACGAACTCTGAAATGCAGAGTTAGGTCCCTGCCAGCCCCAGGTCACGTCCATCAACCAATCAATACACAACCTCATTTTATCTGTGGTTCTCATTAAAACATCCACTATCTTTTCACGAACATTGAGCCCACAGCCACCAGCGGTACAAGTCCTGGCCCAGTGCCCCGCATCCGGCTTGAGGATTTGCTCTGGATGACACATTGCTCGCAGCCACTGCGTAGGACCTCCAGCCAGCCCTCCAGCACGGCTCTTGGAGGCCCTGTTAGACAGCAAAATCGCCAAAAAAAGAAGACCAAAATGTAAAAAGTGGCACTACATAGACCCTAAAAGGACACTGGTTTACAGCGAGAAAGCCGACACGGGAAGGCAGAGGCGTGCCTCCCTGTTCCACCTTCACGGGGAACGTGCGTATCAGGCGATTCACAGTTTCCACCTCTTTGCCAAATGACCATGAAAAAATTGCAAGTATCGATTTGCAGATTCCAAATAAATCTTTGTAAGGAGGTGAATTCACAAACACGGAAGCTGCAAATAATGAGGACGGACTGTAGGTGCTTCTCATATCAGGCTAGCAGGAGGGGATGACAGCAGCATTCCAGTGTTCCAGGCCCGTCACCTGTATTAACTCCCTCATCGCACCAGGCTAGGGGGGAGGCATTGTTTTTATTCCGTTTTACAAATGAGGAGACTGCTGTAGAAAGGTTGACCTGCAGATTCTTAGCAACTAGAATGTGCCAGTTCTCACGTCATTCATATTCTAAAACCAGCCCAGTGTTTCACAGTCTGTTGCCAGAAGCACATGAATATTTAAGATGAAATGGAGAATTCAAAGAGATGTTATGCCCCGTGCAGCTGGGGTGAGCTGAGCTGCCCGTGCCCGCAGTTCAGGAAAGCACCAAGAAGACCTCTGGAGCAGGAGGTGTGCTGGGAACGCTGGAGCCACTCTGCTCCAGGGACTCCTGCCTCCACGGGACTCCCTGCCTCATTTTCCCCTGGGCACTCGTGACTCCTGCGCCCGCCTCTGGGGAGCGCCCTCACTGAGTGTGGAGGCCAGGCTGAGCTGCTCTCTCCCAGGGGCTACACCTCCTACCAGGCCAGTCCCTCAAGAAACAGTTGGTCAGGAGTGAAAAGGAGGAGAGCAAACCTCCCCAGCTCCCTGAAGCAGTGCTGCCTTCCTCTCTCTCCGTCCGGCAGATCAAGCAGTCCTGTTTGTGACTCCAGCACTGGGAGTGTGGGTGACAAAGAGCCACGAAGGGCAGACTCCGCTTAGGGAGGGGCTGGCTGGACCTCGCAGGCCCTGTTCCCGGATTCCCACCTAACTACCCCCATCAGGACTCTCCTTCACCACTTTGCCCAAAGTGTAGACACAAAACCTTCCCTTAGTCCCGCATCCATGCTCCCCTCCACCCTGCACCCCCGCCACTCAGGTCTGGCCAACATGTTTAAACAAGACATTGCCAAAGATTGGGAGAAGACTAGGGAGTGGGAAGAACAGAAGAGAATGAGCCCCCCAAAAGCCAATCTTGGATTGGGCTGCTGGGTGCAGAGATGCTCACCCAATCTATCTCCCAAGGCTCAGGACCTAGGCTACCCCCACACCCCACCCCACCCCCAAGAGAATCCCCACTACCCGAGGACAGGGGCGGTATCATCAACCCTGAGAGGTCTGAGAAACCGAGTTCCCTTTCCTCCCGAGGATCCATCTTCTTGAGCTCCGGTTTCCATTACCTGCCACAGGTCTGCTTCTGCCCTGGAAGAGTTTTGGGGATTCCCACCTGTACTCCCAGCATCACCTACTAACCCCAGCCACAGGCAGGCAAGCGCAGCAATGCATCATTTGTGTGTTGGGCACAGAGGACCAGGGACGTTACTGTCGGTGATGCAGGTGTGGGAGTAGGTGTGTATTTTACCCTTAGACAGAGAGGACATCCTTTCCCAGCCTCAGCCTGAATTTGTTCTTGATACAGAATTGCTCTTTCTGCTTGCAGGACTTGTGAGATGTGTTTGAGAAGGCACAAAGCCTGCGCTCTCTGCCAGGAGACAAGAGGCCAGGACGCGCTACGTGAGCACGGTGTCCCAGCGCTGGGAGATAGTCAAGAGGGTGCCCTTACGGAAGAAAACTGAAAGGGAGTAGAGAGCAGGACAGGAAAGGGGGAGAGCAGGACAAGCCAGGGGCCAGGTGCCATCTCGCCTTTGCTTGATCGTTAAGGTCCCTGCAGCAGGAGATCCACCCACAGACTTGGCCAGTCTTAAGGCAACAGGCCTGGGCTGTGGTATCCACGTGCCAGTGAGGCCTGGCCTCCCCTGGACTTGGGTGGTGGGTGTGACCTCCCAGGCAGCTCCCATAAACCAGAGACAGCGCTTCAGAGAAGCTCTAAGGGGTGACCCCTTGACAGCCATGCTCCCTTCAGCTGGGGCACGGGTGCACCTGCCAATACTGGGGGTCTGGACAGGGCGTCCACATTGACAGCATCAACTGCACATGATTTTCAGGTCTCCTTAGCCCTATATGGGAAACACGCTCAGCTGGTGATTATAGTTTTCTGCCTGTCCAGGATGGGGTCCCTCTTTGGAACAGAAATTTGCTTTATAAAATGTGTTCAAGTATTCTGCCTCCTCAGCAAGAAAATACCCTTGGGAGGAGAGGTGACAAGAGGTCACCCCTCTTGTGAGGGGTGAGGGGCTCTGGGCTTTGGCACAACCTCATTCTTGGTTTCTCCTCTCATCCTGCACTGAAATCCCCCAGAGAGCATCTCGGGGCCCCAGATCGGTGATTTCCTGACTTCTCCAAGGGGCCAGACTCATGATTTCGAGTCAGGAGCTCAGGAATGAGGACTGTTGTGGCTCTGGAGCTCTGAGCCAATTGGAATCTCTCTCCAGAGAGTGGTGTAGGACAGACTCTTTCTAGAAAGTTTCAAATCTTTAGCAGTGAGATAAGGAGGGTTAGCGTCCCCTAAAGTGTTGGAAAGGGACAGAACTGGGATCTGGTGACCTTCCATGCCTCAGACCAAGGCTGGTTCCCACGTGGCCTCTAGGACTAGCAAGAAGCTGACCTGATTCGATCTTGTGTGATCTTACACTCTGACAATCACACACACACACACACACACTCACACTCACACTCACACCCAGATGGACTACTATGGAACAGAAGCGAAACACAGAGGCCCCAGGAAGAATGGATTTGCTAGTAGCCTTGAACCATTTCACTCTGCTCCTGAGAACCCTTATCTTCCCCTGAGAGGTACAAGGTGAGTGGGGAACACTGGAGCTGTCATCAGGAAACCCACCACTGAGGTCCAGGATTGGCCACAAATTGGGGGATTCTGGGCAAGTCACTTCACCTCTCTGAGCATCCGCTTTCCGGGCTACCTTGGAGTCAATGGATCCTCCCAGTGTAACATCCAAAATTGTATCTATACTCTTCTTGTGTAATATAACAACACCTTCCTAAGCTACGACTCAGCCATGGCAATGTCTGTG